CCCCCTTGTGTGTGTGTGTGTGGGAATGGGGGGGAGTTTCCATCTCCCTCCTGCAGTTCAGGAATATGCAGATTGGAGATCGGTTTAAATTAACTTTGTGGTGAGCGTAAATGTCTCTGATGGACTTTGTGAGCTGTCCAGGATGTCTCCTTCACCCCCTCCCGTCCCCTCCCTCCCCACGACCCTGAGGAAAAATTAAGCATTTGAAGATGAATCAAAAGAAAACTGTCCTTTTCCTTTCCTGGTTCAGGGAAACTCAGAGGGTATCGAACCTGCCTGAGGGATGGCTCACTTTTATTACATGCTCCATTTGCAGCAAGCAATAAAGCTTCTATCCACATCTGTCCCATCACGGACCGTACGCCGGACTCTGCAGCCCAGTCAAAGGCTGCATACGGCTGCACCGACCGACTGCAGCAGAGCCAATAAAACAAAACCAGGGATGGGTTTTTTTTTTTAATAAAGCTACACCTCAGTAAATCAGATACGATGTTTGATTCCACGTCATCCGTATATATATATGAGAATATAAGGAAATATGCAAGAGTGCTCGCTTCATGGTTGCATTTATTATTAACCCCGTAAAAGGAAATGCCTATTATTTTAAAAATTCATACAGTATTATCGCTTTGATCTCCAGCAGTCCCACGGCTGTCTTGCGTTTTTTTTTTTCTTCTTCTTCTCTTCCTATATAAGCTGGAGACAACTAACCAAATCTGACTGCTGATGCCAGCTTTTTTCAGGCTCCAAATGGAATGAGAATGAATTATCGTCTGTGCCAATTCCAAACCAGAAGACGCGCCCCAGTCTAAAAAAAAAAAAAAAAAAGTTATTATAAATCTTCAGGGTTTCTGTCTTTCCCATTTAAGTGTGTTTTACATCATTGTCATGAAACAGATGGTGGTGTTACAAGTCCTGTCCCTGTTCTGGCTAAGGGGACATGATAATTAATACTGACAACGGCTGCCGAAGGCACAGACTCACATGTAATCAGATTTCTATCATTGCTCCATATTAAAAGTGTCCAAATGTGGCGTGCACAGCAGGTGTGTGGTGAGTCTAAAATGGAAAACGACTGTTTTCTTTATCGTTGTTGCTGACAGAGACTCCTGCACGATGGTGTGAGGAGCTAATGCATCATGTTGGAGGCTAATTAGTTAGAAGTTGCACAGAAATAGAAAAAAACAGAAAGATATTCGGCTGCTAACATTCCCCTCGCTGGAAGCAGAAGTTATCAATAAGTCTAATTTGGTTTGTTGTGTTTATCGACTAGTTGGTGGGAGACTTGTAAAAAAAAAAAGAAAATTCTGACTTCCATTATTATGAGGACACAGGATGGATGTGTTTGTGGTGCAGCTGTAGATTCTATATAAGAAATGGATGGAGTTGTCTCCAATACAGACTGCAGTGGCTGAAAAAAAAAAACGTTTCCACCGCATTCTGAAGTTAATTATTTTTTTACATATAGCTGTAAAATACGAGGGTCTGATGTTTGTGCTGTTGCCACAAAAAAATGTAATTTGGTCTTTTGTGGGCTAGCTAACATTTGTCTGTACTTGAGCTGTTGAAGCTAATGTTAGCGCTGATGTCTGTACCATAGCTGTTATGGCTAACGATAACACTAGTGTCTGTACCAGGACTGACTGTTGTGGCAACTTTGAGCTCTGTTGTCTAACGTCTTTTTTTTTTATTGCTGGCAAAATACTGCCACCTACTGGTTTGGTCTGTGTGTACTTTAGTGTTTGTTGCTTTTTAAAGCTTTATTTTACCCTAACTCACATCAGTGGGACAGAAAGTCAACATTTATGATCACACGTCTGTGTAGCTTTAATGTAGAAAAAACATCGAGCAGTTCGTCAGCGATTCCAGGCCTCGAAGATGTTTTCTCACGTCGCTCTGTGCTCGTCACGTGCTAATTAAAGAGTGTGGCAGAAGAGTGACATAACCGCAGCTAGCAACATCTCCTATAAACAACAGCATGACACTACAGTGTGTGTGTGTGTGTGTGTGTGTGTGTGTGTGTGTGTTTGCAGGGCTGGTACGTGGACCTACGACACCTTGCAGCTCTGCAGTTTCAAGGGGCAGGAGATAAAGGGGTGTGGAGTTGAAATGAGAAATGGGACTGAGCCCTGGATTACACTAAGCTCGTTCTCTGCTTCCACGGTTGATACTGTGTTTGTCAAAATATGTAAATATCGTTGGAGTGAAGGTGTTTCCTCCTGACAGGAGTGTGCGCACTGGGTTTGTAGTCATTACACTGAAGCTCGGAGGAATTCAAACAAATAGTGTGCATGTACATGGGAAGTGTGTGTACATTTACATATGTACATGGACTGTATTTGCGGCGTGTTTGCAGTGGTAAGCTCCGGGCAAAGGTTAATCCATCTGCGCGTAATTCTTTTGTTCCGTTCGACCTTTAAAAATGCAAACATTAACGCGTTCAGCCTCTCCGAGCGAATATGCATTTGAAGTACCAGCAGATGGCAGCAGGATTGGTCTCTTACATCTGAAAATGTGTTTGTTTGTTTTTTTTGTTTTTCTAAAGATTATCAGAACAGCCCATCATCTGTGATCCTATTTAGAGGAACGCTATCATAGAGCACTACACGGTTGTTCAGTAGAAACATCACTGCAGGAGGACAGACATTGGTTGCGTCCAAAACCGCCCCCTACACTCACACAGTCCACTACGGGGGGTGGGGAGTCAGGGTTAGGGTTAGCATTTTTTTTCAATATAAAAACACCACAAATTAATAACAATCAGGACCAAAATGTATTGACTTTTATCTCAGTTTATTATTTAAATATGATCAAAGTTACCTTTTATATATTGCGGGTCAAGATTTAGGTTATTACAACTTCCTCTCAGACATTTTCTGCTGTCAGATGTTGAAGTGAAACCATCTTAAGTGCCTGTAGTCCGGCCTCCAGGCTCTCAGTGAACCAGCACTCGCTCCTCTTCATGAGTTCCCATCAGACATGTTTGTACTGGAGATGTTCAACACCATTATAAGTCGCTTTGCTGCAGCTGTCACCATGTTGCCGGGCCGCGAGTTCAGCCGCGCTCCGTCTCTTAAGATGTTTGGTGTTTTTATAAAGCCCCGAGAAACCCTTTGAAATCAGAAATGTCTCGGCTGTGTTTCTTTCTTTTTCTTTTCTTTTCTTTTTTTTAATTACTTTTGATTAAATTGTTAGGGCTGGTCTCTGCTGCTCACTTTGTGGTTCTCACATTAGAGAGAGAGCGCAGTTTAACACCTTTTTATGCTGAGATGTGTTCACAGCATCACTTCAACATCACAGCAGACTGATTTTTTCTCTCTCTCTCTCTCTCTCTCTCTCGCCTCCTCCACAGAGATACACAGAGATCAGTGATATGTTCTGTAGCTGTGGAAGCAGAAATCTATCAGCCACGAACGCCAGCACTTTATCTTACTGTGAATATGGAATACTGCTGTTAAGATCACGTTAGGCAAATATACTGTAGGGAAGATTTGGCCTCGGGTTTGAAAATACTAAATGTGTTTTAATGAAAGAGTAACAGTGTTTTCCAGAGCCACCTTATCTTTTTTTTTCTTTGACAACCAAATAAATGAACAGACACTCAGAGGTGAACCGAGAATGTAATTATTTATTGTTAATAACTGTTATTTGTCTAGAGAATTATTTAAAAATGAATCTTCTGACTGGGGAAAGTGCAGAAAAATAAACTCACATCTCTAGATCTATTATTATGATTTATTATAAAGGACTAATTTGAAACATTCAGGGTTTTTTTGTTTGTTTGTTAAACACTTATTTAGGAACACACTCCTGGGTGTTAGCAGGTTTTGGACATAAAGGAGTGTCCACCAAAGACTTACTTCATTTATTATATGTCAGTGTTTGCAGACATTCATTTTTTTAATAGTTTTCGCTCAGAAAATGCTGCTTTAATACCTCATCTTTTGAGATATGTAATTATTGTATTTGTCTGTTGACGGTAATAAGTGAATTATCCAGACTTTTCAACATTTCAACGACATCAACCGTTTTTTCTGTAAAATAGTATTTGAATGTATTTCCTTCACATGCATTTCAACGACATCAACCGTTTTTTCTATACTAAAATAGTATTTTAATGTATTTCCTTCATGTTTTTTGTGATCATTTATGTGTTTTGTTTGTTTGTTTTTTTCACAGATCTGTGTGAACTGCAATGAGAAGTGGACGTGGAGGAGCTTCATTCGTGTCTGAGGTGCATTTGGATTGGATCTGAGTGATGTCCGTCTGACAGGGTCACTACAGCAGGACTGAGCGGACACTACAGTGTGCATTTGTGTTGTGCAGCGGCCACTGTCCTGCCCAGACCATGTGGTTGGCTCCATTCAGAGACCATCTGTCGCCTGCACACCTGCCACATCAGCACGGAGCCGTGACCATCACCCACTGTGCTCTTCTCTGGTGGATATTATGCTCCTGCTGGTCCTTCACGAAGGCCACCAGCCAGAAGTTCTACCCCACCGTCACCACCCAGTTCGGGAAACTGCGAGGCCTCCGGGTCCCGGTGCCCAGCGAGGTCCTCAGGCCCGTGGATCAGTATCTTGGGGTGCCGTACGCAGCGCCACCTGTGGGCGAGAAGCGTTTCATGCCCCCGGAGCAGCCGTCCTCTTGGTCGGGCGTAAAGAATGCCACCCACTTCATGCCCGTGTGTCCTCAGAACATCCACAACACTGTGCCGGAGATTATGATGCCCATATGGTTCACCTACAACCTGGACACGGTGGCTCAGTACATCCAGGACCAGAGTGAGGACTGTCTGTATCTGAACATCTACGCTCCGACGGCTGACGGTGAGTCACTGTGTTTACGTCTGTCCTCATGTTGTGATCATTGTGATCGGCGTGTGTTTGTGTCATTGTTGCCACCAGGGGGCTGATTTGCCATCTGATGAAAATGTCATAATGAAATCACCTGCTGTACAGCCATTTAGGAAATAGCAAATGTTTATCACCTGCTTGAATGCGTGCCACACGCTTTTAGACACATTTAATAGACGTTTCTGCAAAGAAATGTCAGGCAGGTAGAACGTGGGACGTTTGAGAAGCTGAAACCTGACAGAAATGTGACCAAGAGCGACATAACGAATTTCTTACTCAATTAAGGATTCATAAGAAATTTAAGCGAGCCAAAAAACAGAGCTAGACTTTTAAATTGTTAGATTTAAAGTAACAAACGCTTTTGCGCAGAAACAATTCAAACTTTTTATTTGTTTGAAGAGAACTCACAACTCAGTCCTGCTGCCAGAGAATAAATACGTGAAGATAAAGGTGAAAATAAACCTTATGTAGCCGAGTGCGAGACTCCGTTTTTCCGCTAACAGACTTTACGCGGGGCAGAAATGTTTGCAGAGATAAGATACTGTCGACCAGAAAATGAAGCCCTAACTTTCAGCCTTTGAAACGATGCGTCCAGCATATTTGGCTGTCACCGCCGGGCGTCAGCTGTTGACGTGAGAAATGAATCAGGAGATTAGGAAATGGAGGCTGTGATGAAATTTACTTCATATCGTAAATATAAAAGTTGTGGTTCCTGCTCTGTGATATTTAAGATAACAATCTCACATTATGATGTACATTCAGGTGGTGATGGTGTTTTGAATAGTTCTTACAAAAAGAAGAATTAATTTGTCCGTAGATCATTTTCGTCCCCTACCAGAGACAAGGTGATAAAATATATAATTCAACCGAGTATTTTCTTTGTACTTCTACTGCGAACCTCCTCCATGTTGGTTCACTTCATTTCCCTCAATGTTCCAGAGAGAATATCACTCTCGACCGTATTCACATCCACAGCTGAAGCCTGTCCTCCGTGCGCACACGTCTGACACACGCTTCGCTCTCTCTTCTCTGTGGTAGCATAGCAACAACAGATAAACAGTCTCCTTGAAAGGTATCTGTTCAAAATGGTGCAGCCTACGTGTTACTATAGAGCCCCCATTCTGAGAGCTGCCTCAAGGCCCTGTCACCTGGCACACACACACACACACACACACACACACACACACACACACTCACTCTCACACACACACAGATGCAGGTTAATTAAATTTCTCATTTGTATTCATATTTCACAGAACCTAATGGAAGCGCTGGGTTGCAGGCGTCTTTATTTTTCTTCTGACGTTGTCATTGTTTATTTAAAACGCGCCTCAGGCCTTCTGTGCGAATCCTGTTTTTTTTTTTTTTTTTTTTTTTTCTCTTCACCCACCATGTGAAACCTTTGTTATTTCTAACATTTATTTATCACCGTCGGTGCCTGTGCTTTCTTTCTTTCTTTCTTTCTGTGTCACATTAGAGCTCGTCCTCCTGAAAATGTTCTCACTTGTTTCATATTTACTTCAGTGGCTTCGTGCCCGACTCCAATCAGAGTGAATTCATTATTCATCACATCTTCACTAATGACCCTGCAGTGGTTTTATCTGAAGAGTTACACTTTATTTTAATATGTACGTTAACTTATGTAAAGTTAACTTAAATAATGTACGTGCGCTTAAAGGCTGAAACTCTTTATATTAAACTATATTACTGTATATTAGTCAGAAATAAGTATAAATGTTGAAAATTGTTTTAATGTTGGCCGTTAAGTGAGGGAAAAAAATTTAGACAAAAATATTTGTTTTTGACTTAAGTCAGGGGTTCCCAACCACCGGGTTGGGGACCAGTATTGGGTCGTTGGATCATTTAGTACCAGGCCACACAGAAAGTTTTATTAAAAATATAATAAAATAAAACTTAAATTATTCAGCAAAGTTGTGAACTATAAAATAATTGTTAATTTGTACATGGTTTCTGTCATAATTATATTAATTATTGCCTTAATGGAAATAAATATTATTTTTAATTAACAGTAGATTAAGTAGAAAATCTGAGAAAATATAGCTGCTCTATGAAGAAAATGTTATTTAAATTTCAAAGGAATAAAGTTTTGGTTTTTTTTCAATTAGAGAAATAAAATGTGGAGAACAAGATTAAATAAATGTAATAACCAGAGGCCTTGCATTAATTAACCTTGACTAATAGCTTTTTAAAAATAAAAAAAAATTATTTGACATAATTATCTTTTGATTGAACAGAATACATTTCAAACGAGGATCACAATTTAAATGCTTTTAAAAACGAAAGAAAAAACCCAACCGTCCTTCCCTGCGTGTGTGCGGCTCACAGTCGCTGCAGCTTCTGTCAGGACGAAGGCAGAGTGATTTTACACACTGTTCAGCCTGGCTGCACAAACACACACAGTCAATATATCAACCCTTATAACAGGGAACAGGAGTTTGGTGGTTACTCAATTAAAACCGAGGCATCGTTATTCTGTACGTAGGCAAACTGTGATTTACTCTGCCGCCCCCTGTGGCCGTGTCACGACTCTGCAGTGATTTGGCACGACACGACACGAGGTAGCATTGGTGGACAGCACGGCCTGTTTAAAATTCTCAGTCAGGGGATGGAGGGGGGTGAGGGGAGGAGGAGGAGGAGGAGGAGGAAGGGGAAGTGACAGATGCTGCTTGTATATATTCGATAACTTGTTTTTTTTTTTTTTGTTTTTTTTTTTTACCTCTTTGTTTGTCTGTCCTCCCAGGGGGCCAACACAAGAAGAAGGGGGCGTCGTTCTCACACGCTGAGACTCATATATCTGAAGGTATTTTATTTATTTATTTTTTAAGAGCACAGAAACTCGTGATGATGAATGGATTCTCTTAGTTTGAAGTGTGTCGGATGAAGACCCTCACCATCCCTAGATCTTTTCTTTTTCCCAGATATAACATAAATAAATAAAAAACAACCTTTTTTTTTTATTACCGTGAGTGAAGGGAGAAGAAAAATGTGTCTCCAGTCTCAGCTGTTAGTGCGGCTGATGTTTGGACTGCAGCTCCGTCTCTGCGTCTCTGCTGCCTTGTACATTGATTCACTGATTGCATTATCTACTTATTTGTCTCATAGTCCCTTTTAAGGCCGCTCATTAGTCTGTGTAGCAAATTGGTCTGAGACAGTGGGAGATGGATTTTTTTTTTTCTTTTTTCTACGGAATTTGCTTTTTATGCATTTACGGAATTATTTTAAAGGACATTTCCCACAGCTTTCGCTCTGGAATGGATGGATGAGAAGTGAAGTGAAAATTTTTAGCAACATGACGTCAGTGTAAAAAAACATTATATTGATTTTATTGATTTTTTTTTAATTTAAAATAGGGCAAAAAAATCCATTATAATGATTTGTTAATGGGAAGATTTTGAGGTAAAAGTGTCAACTCTCAACTCTCAGAAAAAGAAATTGATCAATTAGAACAAAAAACTCAACAAAACTTCAGTCAAATTTCTCAAAAAAACAAAACTCAACAAAACTTCAGTCAAATTTATCAAAAAAAACTCAATGTTCTATTATTATTATTATTATTATTGCTGTTGTCATTATAATTAATAATAATAAATTACTTGTTATTTTTGCATTGCATGAAATTGAGTGATCATTTTATGAACTATTTATTTATTTGCTCTTTATTTATTGATGTTTTACTCATAAAAAATAATGGCTTTTATACATTTTTTAAACCTTTTCTTCCCCCCTTTTTTAAGACCCAGACCAACCACTGCTTTACAGCATCTGTTCTGGTCAGGTCTTCTACACCTCACACTGAACAGTTGGGATTTTAGCAACAGCGCTTCATTAATTCCCAGTTTCATTACCGTTGCTCTGCAGTTCTCTGAGCTCAGCATGTGTGTGTTTGTGTGTGTGTGTGTTTGTGTGTTGATGTTGCAGATATAAGGGACTCTGAGGCCCGGCCCGTGATGGTCTACATCCACGGAGGTTCCTACATGGAGGGAACCGGGAACATCATGGACGGCAGCGTGTTGGCCAGCTACGGGAATGTTGTCGTGGTCACGCTCAACTACCGGATTGGAATATTAGGTGATTACAGCGTCTCCGTGCGGTGACTTTAATGTGCTTTGAAATGGGGTATTTAACAGTGGTTAATGTGGGAGAGTAAACTGTAATCATGCTCATTAAATCCTACTGCTGCTGCTGCTGTTACCAACCCGTACCAGGGAGGAGTCGGAGCAGCATCAGCATTTCTTCTGAACACTGTTAATCCTACAATCCAGAAACAACAAAAAAAAAATTGAATGAATAATTCAAAAAATGCCTCCCACTCCTCATACCTTCTAAGAACTCACCTAATAAATGAACCACCGCACAAACCAGTATCTAGTAAGAAAGTCAGAAATAGAAGAAATTGATGAAAATAAGTTTTGGTCAAAAAAATTCATGAAAACAAAACTCACTAGACTGTGTGTGAAGTCAGTCTCAGGTTGTCCTTGCTGCACCCAGACTGTGGTTGTGTTGTTTTATACACAGTCCGTCTTCTCTGGGACGATTTTGATCTAATCTGCACAAGATGATCAGACTTTGCCAGCCTTAAAAAAAACAAAAACAACAACGTCTCAAATACAGTATGGAGAGAGCTGCAGCATTCTCCAGCGCCGGCAAGGTCAAAAGTGTTCTGTTTCGCCGTGTTTAACATTCAAAACAGTGTGTTGTGCAGATGAGACGAGACGAGGCAATCAGTAACAGCGTCAGTGTTACGGCGGCAGCTGTGACCTCCGTGCAAGTTTAAGAAGAAACCGTTTAAAGAAAGAGTGCGAGGAAAGATTTATTCATTAAGACGCTAAATGCTTTGAAGACTTTTCTCTCTCCTTGTGGTTTTTTTTTTTTTTTTTTTTGCAAGAAGAGAATTGAGATTTGATGAGCAGAGTCCTGATCAGTTCCTGAGGGGCTCTCCAGCTCGGAGGCAATTACAAGGAGTTGAAATGAAGTAGTAGTGGAGACACTGTGAGAGACAGAGGGGTTGGGGGGTGGGGGGGGGGCATATTTGCACCTGAGGGGATACAGTGTCAGTCTGTTCTGAGACCCCGCTGTGATGTAACTTCTGATCAAAGCTGTGGCACATATTGTAGATCTGTCTTGCAGTGCTGGCTCTGTTCTGTGTCTTAAAACTCCAGGCTTCCTCAGCACCGGGGACCAGGCAGCGAAAGGAAACTACGGGCTCCTGGATCAGATTCAGGCTCTGCGCTGGATCAGTAAGAACATCGGTTACTTTGGAGGAGACCCGGGGCGCATCACGGTTTTTGGATCGGGGATCGGCGCCTCCTGTGTCAGTCTGCTCACACTGTCCCATCACTCAGAGGGTAAAAGAAACAGTTTTATTTTCTTCTCATAAAAGACAAATACAAATGAGTTTTCTTCACAGTAAACACAGCAGAACAGAAAGTGAGCGGAGCTTTGAAACTTATAAAACATTTCAGTTGAAAAAACCCGGTAAACTGTGTAGAACTATTTCCATATTTGAATCAACAAATGGAGATAATGTTGGTTAAAGTATTAGTGCATCCCCACAAAATATTGTTACAAATGCAACGCAACATGACCCACCTCCACCACTGTACATGTTAATGTGACTATGATAGATGAGCCATTCACTGAGCCCCCACTGGAACACATTGTGGGGGGTTGAACCCACAACCTATGGGGAACAAGACTAGTCTTAGCCAGTTGTACCATCCCACTTGACCTAGTTTCACACCAACATTAATATATTCCAGAGTGTGTTGTTGTGAAGCAGATTCTTGGATACGTTCGTATCTTCTTCCCCCCAACAATAAAGTACTTCAGTAATTTTATTTTCTGATTTTTTTTTTCCTCCTCCCAGCACTTAGTGACCTCAGGCAACACAGTTTTGAATTTAAAAGTGCAGGATTTCTCCACTTTGCACCAAAAAAAACACACCATTTTTCTTGTCACAGCGAGTTCTTCCTTTGAAGATGTCAATTTAACTTTGTCACGATCATTTTTTATCATTTTGCCGCTGCACTTTTGGTTTCCAGTGCATCTCTGAATAGTCTTTCCAGGAGATGAAATGTTATGATATGTGAAGAGGGTAGAGGGAAAAAAAAAAGAAGAAGTATTTGTGTAGTGAGTGATTGCCTTTGTTCCCTCCTTGTATTCAATCTAATCAACTTAAAAGCTTTGCCTTTTAAGACACGAGGCTCTTAAAAAGAAGAGCGCTGGCGTTCAGCTCGTCGTCACTTTTTAATCCACCTGCGTTACTACGTGTGTGAACTGACTGGAGGCAGACACACACACACACACAGGTGTGTGGTGTTGGATTAATATCACATGTGGCTTCATCAGGGAGGGGGGGGTCACGGCAGATCGGTGGGTGGTGTGTGTGTGTGTGAGAGCTGAACAAACAGAGCAGAGGTGACGCAGGTGCGTCCGTGGCTGAGGACGTTGGAGAGCTGTTAGAGCAAAGAAAACGAGGAGACTGAAAAAAAAAAATACAGAGAGAGAATTACACCTTATTTGGTCGTGCGTTTGCCATTTCAGGTTTAACAAGGATGTGTGCAGCAGAGTGGAGGTGAAGAGTTTTTTACTGCAGGTGCTGCAGATGAGTGGCAATCAGTGTGATGAGCACAAGGTGAGAGTGGGAGTTCAGACGGGAGCAGGGAAGTAGGCCAGCCCCGCCCATTCAGCCTCAGCATCAGCATCAGCCTCAGCCTCAGCAGGAGCAGACTGACATTGAGGGGGGGGGGGGGGGGTGTCACATGCTGTGTCCAGATTGATAGTCTGTGGCCAAGAACACCTGCAGACGCAGCTCAAGGACTGGAGTCATTTTGGTGCCACTGGTTCAATCACCAGTCTTTGGTTCTGAAGCTGTGGTTCTGTTTATAAAAGCAGGAAGTGACACAACAGACGTGAGTTTACGCTGAGTATGAGTGACAGCTTGACAGGATTTTCTTTGAATGAAGTAAATTAGTAACAATTAAGTACTTTTTTTTTAAGTGTCCAAATGACTTATGGACTGGTACTGATCTGCAGACCGGAGGTTGGGCACCCCTGTCTATTGTTGATATGGCCCTGGTCTAGGATTTTCAACAGACCCCGTGGTCACAGTGTCATCACCTTGATGCTCCTGTCATTATAGGACAGAAAAATAGTTTTTTGTTGTTTTTTGTTTTTTTTCCTCCCATCAACGCCAGCAGTTCTGCAGTAACTGTCGTTGCTGTGTACGGCGGTGCTGCAGCTCAGCTACAGTGAGTGCACAGAGATCTTCTGCTGTCTCTGAATCAGCCTGGCTGCTGATGCTACTGCTGATGCTGATGCTGTTGCAGCTGGCCTAAAAAAAAAAAATGAAATAAATGACAGCACAGAGGGGAGAAAGTGACAATGTCCTTGTATGATTTTTTTTTTTCCCCTCTTCTCCTCCACTGCATCGCCTTAACCTCCACAGAATATTCTGGAGTTGATACATATCACATGTCGCTTTTAAGTTCAGGTTCCAAACCCTCCAGAGACAGAGGTGGCACGCTGCGTATAAACACAACACAACAAGCGATGAGTGGAAGATGGAGGTTACCTCAGACCCAGCCCCACAAGACACCCCCCCTCCCCCTCCACCGCACACTTCACATCAGCAGTCAGGGTGTGAGCTGCGGCGCTTGTTAAGACGCACAACTTAAGGACTGTGCAATTAATGTACATCTGTCAGTAACTGCTGCGCTGGATCTTACCTTCTCCTGCGTGAGAACAATGCTGCAAATTGGTCATTAATTCAGCCTCATCTGCATAGAAGTGAAGCCACATCAGACAAATGAGGGGATCAGGAAAAACAAGCCAAACGGAAGAATTTTTTTTTTTTCCTTATTCCCCGTCTGTAATAACAGCAAAGAGGATCAACATCTCATTACCACAGAACTTGTTTCAGCAGGTTCTGGGCTGAGCTGCTCACAGTTAATCTTCTCTTCCGCTCCAAAACCAATCAAACTTGACTTTTCATGAAACTAAATTTGATATAAAAAGTAATTGTAAGTACAATTAAAAAAAAACGGCAACAAAGATTTCACACATTAGCAAAAGCCCTTAATAACAGTAATTTTGGTTAATGTTATTGAGGGTCTGTACCAGGACTGTTGTAGCTAACGTTAGCTCTGGTGTCTGTACCATGGTGTACATGTGTATATTTTCTAAATCTGCTTTTTTGTCACTTCTTCAATTTAGTATTTAAACTGTCAAGAACAAGAAGTTCATTTTTAACCAGATTAAATGTTTGTTTTGCCTCCCTGGGGCCAGGAAACAAACCCTGTGTCCTGACTGTAGTCCCTGACCCTGATGTTGTCTTACTTCACCAGCTGTCGGAGGGTTCGCCTTATTTTCTTGTGCGTTGAAGACAGAAAGTGCCTCTTCCTCTGTCTGGTCAATGAACTGGTTCATTACCCACACTGACTGGGCTGGAGTGTGAGAATCAGTGCTACTTTAATTGATCCAAGTTAACATGTTGAAGTCACAGTCCTAATTAGACGTTTTGGACTTTTCATCTGAATTGGTCGTTTAGTCAAATCTTTTCCTCCTATTTTCAGTCCAGTCTTTGGTTCGGACCGTTGGAGATCACTGTTCAAGAACTAATGAGTTGTGTTGAAAATAGAAAGCTTTCCAAATACTGTAAAACCGTATTACTGTGAAAACCGTTTCTGTTGTTTGGCAAATAGATGAAACATGTTTTTGTGGTCTTGAAAAAACATGGGGTATATTTGATTCACATATTTCCTGGGTCAGACGGAGGAGAATGGTTGAAGTTCCACACACACCACCGTAGGTCACAGGAGTCTGAATCACTGAGTCATAACCACTGATTCAGTGACTTTCTGTCCTGATTTTCGTCCTTTCCAGGATTGTTCCACAGAGCCATCATCCAGCCCTGTCCAGCTGGGCTGTCAACTACCAGCCGGTCAAGTACACCCGCCTGCTGGCTGAGAGAGTGGGCTGCAACGTGCTGGACACGGTGGACATGGTCACCTGCCTGCAGAAGAAGACCGCTAAAGAGTTGGTGGAGCAAGACATCCAGCCCGCTCGATACCGCGTGGCCTTCGGCCCCGTCATCGACGGAGACGTCATCCCGGACGACCCAGAGATCCTGATGGAGCAGGGCGAGTTCCTCAACTACGACATCATGTTGGGCGTGAACCAGGGAGAGGGCCTGCGCTTCGTCGAGAACGTGATGGACATGGACGACGGCGTGTCGGGCAGTGACTTTGACTTTGCCGTGTCAGACTTTGTGGACAGCTTGTACGGATACCCGGAAGGAAAGGACACGCTGAGGGAGACCATTAAATTCATGTACACGGACTGGGCGGACAAGGACAACCCGGAGACCAGGAGGAAGACTCTGGTGGCTCTGTTCACCGACCATCAGTGGGTGGAGCCCTCGGTGGTGACGGCTGACCTTCACGCCCGCTACGGCTCGCCGACGTACTTCTACGCCTTCTACCACCACTGCCAAAGCCTGATGAAGCCCGTGTGGTCCGACTCGGCGCACGGAGACGAGGTGCCTTACGTCTTCGGGATTCCCATGGTCGGCCCCACTGATCTGTTCCCCTGTAACTTCTCCAGGAATGACATCATGCTCAGCGCCGTGGTCATGACTTATTGGACCAACTTTGCCAAGAGTGGGTGAGTAGCCCAGAGTCCTAATGTGCACAGAGCTCTCTGAAGCTGACACTCATTTTTCTGGCCCCGGTGGTTAATGTGAGCGGTCCGACTGGTGCGGCGCTGATTTGTGTTGAGATGTTAAGCCCCTGTCCCTTTCTCTATCACCCTGATTAGAGCAGAGTAGGATTCAGCCTTCAGCAGTGTTTCCTAATTAAGAACAGGCTGAACTCCTACCACAGCCTTATCTCCTTCTCTCCTTTGTTCACAAGTACAACGTGAACAGACAAAAAAGTGCTGCGTCAGTTCTTACCAATTAATTTAAAAAAAGAACAGCAGACAGCATCAGAAGTCTGTAAATCTCGAGTTCATGACATCATATTTGATGAAACCTGTGGTTTTAAAAAGTCAAACTCATTTTGGTACAACCTAATCAGATCAATCATGAATTACCTCAAATTAACAAAAAAAAAGTCAAACTCATTTTGGTACAACCTCAGATCAGATCAATCATGTCATCACCTCAAATTAACAAAACGTTTTTTGCAAATATAAGAAAATTATTAGAAATATAAATACATATATATTATATATATGAGAAAACAACATCAAGCGGGCCAGTTTTGGCCCACAGGCCATATGTTTGACATCCCTGGTCTAAAATCCAGACCAGAGAAACTAACACCAGGTGATTTTCTCCTGTACAGTCTCTCTATTAACGGTTTACGCCTCATCCTCTTAAATTAAAAGCTATCTGTTTTCAAGGTGCAGAGTTGTGTTTTTGGGTATTTTTTCCTCCAAGACTCAGTGATGGGTGTAAACCTCTGCATCCAGCAAACTTTCATCACTTTGGGCAAACATCCTGCGGGAGATGGATCTTCAAATTTACGACTTAATTCACATAAATGTTTAACGCCGCTCCTCGCTGTTTAACAAAAAGGTTTATGGTGAAGAGGGGATTTGAAGAGACCATTTAGATGCACTTCATAAACCTCTGCTCCACCAAACCTCAAGTTAGTTCCTGATAAATAATTAGTACCGGACGTACAGCGTGGATCATGTGGGTTCCGTACCCTGCAGACTGACTTCCTGTCGTGTGTCCACAGGGATCCCAACAAGCCGGTGCCTCAGGACACCAAGTTCATCCACACGAAGGCCAACCGCTTTGAGGAGGTGGCCTGGTCCAAGTACGACCCGTACGACCAGCTCTACCTGCACATCGGTCTGAAGCCCAGGATCCGCGACCACTACCGCGCTACCAAAGTGGCCTTCTGGAAACACCTGGTGCCTCATCTTTACAACCTCCACGACATGTTCCACTACTCCTCCACGACCACCAAGGTCACGCCCATGGATCCCACCCAGTCCAACGGCAAGAGGTCGGGCAGCACCGGGCGGCCCCCCGTCTCCCCGGCCCACACTGAAAACGGGAGAGAGATGGGTCCTCTGATCATGCCCAACCCCAGGGATTACTCCACGGAGCTCAGCGTGACCATCGCCGTGGGGGCCTCGCTGCTCTTCCTCAACGTCCTGGCCTTCGCCGCCCTCTACTACCGCAAGGACAAGCGCAGTCGCCAGGACACGTCCCAGCAGCCCAGTCCGCAGCGCGACGGCAAGGGCAACAACGTCAGCCACACCAACACGGTGGACGAGGCGCTGTCGTCCCAGCAGAGGAGCCAGTGCGAGGCTCTTCACAACCCCCATCACGTCTCACCCAGCCTGGACTACTCCCTCACCCAGCACCGCTCCCCCGACGACATCCCTCTGATGACCCCCAACAACATCACCATGATCCCCAACTCCCTGATGGGCCTGTCCAACATGAGCCCGTACAGCACCTTCCCGGCGGGCTACAGCTCGGCGGGGCTGCCCAGCACCCACTCCACCACACGTGTATAACCTGCGGAGCAGACAAGTGACAGACGGTCCCTAAAAAGGTGGAGATGTAAAGGTGTATCTAGGATGTGTAGGTTAAAAACTAGGATGTTTGAATTTGTTTGTTCTGTCTTTTTGTTTTTTCCCAAAGGTGTTAAAAACCACAGACATCCTGCCTTCACTCCCTCTCTCCCCCCTCCCTCTCTCCCCCCTCCCTCCCTCCCTCCCTCCTTTCCTCTCTCTCATATAGGAAGTATAACTGCAACGTCATTTTATAATACTACTCACCTGAAGGGAACGGAAAGAAGAAAAAAAATCGGATCATGTCATTTTTCACGTTAGCTTTTTTGGAACTTTACATAGGAAGAACTTAGTATAATGTTTCTACGGCTGGATTTGTATGGGAAGCTTTTTCTTACTCTGTGACAACTCTTTTGATCTCGTGGACTTTAAAGTGACATTACACCAGGTGGACGACAGGAGGCGGGATCTGAGCGGAGGCGGAGCGCGGTATTATTGTTACTATAATCGGTATTATTATCAATAGTATTACAGAGCGATTTTATACACACTTCTCATGGTACACTGCTTATTCTGAACAAATGTATTTTTATTGTACTTAGGTTCAAAGGTCGCGTGACTCACTCTCATATGAAAACGACTGTGGATTCATCGCAGCGGCCGGTTTGAATTTCAGCCGTCGACGCGTGCGCTCCAGAGAATATCCAGTTTATTCGACATACACTATGTGGTAGTGCAAATTATAGCTGCCGTGTGTGTGTGGGTGTGTGTGGGTGCCTGGTTGAACAGCGCGCTACGAAAAATGTAAATTAGACATCATTTAAAGTTTGCCTTTATGTTTTCTGCATAGGTATCGTTGTGTAATCTCTGGTAGTATATTTAAGTACGCTGCTGTGTTTCCTTTGACACGTGTCCATCGCGACGTCGTAGGGACAGAAATAACGCTTTGCTACGGAGGGAGTTTTGCTTCAAATGTGTTTTGTTTTTTTTCCTACTCAGACTAACTCACGGTTCTTTTCCCTGGCTTGGCTTGTTTGTACAGAATAAATTTAGACGAAATCTTTTATTTGTGCTTTGTTTATGAATACTGTAAGTTCCCCAGAGGATTATCTGTAATTACACTGTAACTGTATGTATATCGACTCATGTATTCACATGGTAAAGTGAGGAGTTTCATGAAAAAAAAAAACGATTTAAGAAAAAAAAAAAGAAAAGTATTTGCTGCGGGCCCCAGACGTAACATATCCAGGGGTTGTGTTTTTCCTGAACGGACGTGAGGAGCAGAGATTTGAAATTTGATTCCTTTAAAGTTATCAACATGTTGTTTATTCTAAATGAGACAAATATTAAAAGATTTTTTAAACTAAAGGAAGTTTGCCGTTGTATTATATTGTCGTCGTCGTCGTCGTCCCCCCTCCACATCCCCACCCCCAGGCTCAGGGTACATTCATCAGCCGTACTAATATCACAGCAGTATTTTTTGGTTCTGCTGCGTCACTGTCAACACGTCCTCTGTGAGACCTGCGGTGATTCAGTAGACAGACGACCACAAAGGTCCCCAAGTCATTTGTTGGTGTCTGTAGTAAATATACGGTGAACCGCGCAGTAGATTTTCGGCGGGTGATACATGGACTACACATGCCCTCCCTTTTCCCACCCCCATTTTTCGCAGCCATTTTCTTTTTTTTTAAACCACATTCCTCTCGATCTTGTTGTTAGAATTTGTAAATTATTTCTTGTACAGTCTCTGCTGCTGCCCTCTGCTGCTGAAACGCAATAACGTCCCCTGTAAACCTGTGTGAAAGTGACTGGAATATTGTAGGTTTAAGAAGCTAACAGGAAGTCTGCTCTGTCCAAAAACTTTTATTTCTGAGTTAAGTATTTATTCTTTGGTAAAAAAAAAAAAGTTGAGCTAGCAGCCCTGGGCTAGGATACATGAGTTAATTAGTTAGTTCGGCTATGTTAACTTAAGCTAGCATAAGCTATTTACTCATTTCAGTAATTTAACCTGGCGAGGATACATGAGTAATTTAGTTATTCAGTTAGCTAGCTAGCTAGTTACTAGGTTAAATATGTTAATATTAGCTCAGCATTCCGTTTAAGAAGACAATGCTAATTCGCTAAATTAGCCACTTAAGCTAAATGTACGCATTCTATTCGGTGAGACAATGGCCTGAAAGACGGCACAGCTGTTAAACCAGGGTTAGGTTTTGGTTGATCCTAGTAATTTTTTTTCACGCAGATGAACTCTTATTATCATTATTAATCATTATTATAATTATCTCGGCTCCTCCTGACGCGTACGTGGGGGTTTTTTTAATTGGTTGCAGCTCGTGTCCCAGTTAGTTCGTCTCCAGACCCGGTGATTCTAATGATGGGGAATTAAACGTGAAGAATGAACGGACGGACGGACGGGTCGGTGTTTAGGAGTATAAAACAAAAACTCATTTTCTCCGCCTCAGTTCGCCTCCAACTGAGCCTGACGTCGTTCTGTTTGTCCCTCCGAGAGCGCGGCGGTTTGTTGGTTTGTCGGGCTGTTTGTCGGGCTGTTGCTTCGACGGTTGTTTGTTCGTGTTGCCACAAGGAAACATATCACGGCGTGACAGCCGACAGAAGACAGCGTGGGTATTTTCACAGCGGCTTCACCTCCTCCCTCCTAACTCCCCCCTACACAACACACACACATATATAAACACATTTAGTTTATAAATAATTGCACACAGGCAGACAGTTATTTAAAAAAAGATAAACAACTCACAGATGGCTGTGCACAGAAATACACAAACACACAGTTTTACTGTATACACTGGTCCACCGACGTGTGTGAGTGTCTGTTCCACGGCTGACGGTGATGGAGGGAGGATCCCTCTGCCTCTGTCATTATGCAGAGTAGCCGGTAATGAATGCAGCACCGGTGTCCGGGCCTCCGTGGCTCCCGGTCGGTGTTTGTGTCGGTGTCACCCGGTGCGTTAACTAACGACTGTTGGAGCGTCTAATTAAACCTCCTCCAGTGATTACATATCACCGCAGCTCAGCTCAGCTCAGCTCTGACCTTCATCTGCCTCTGCCTTTCAACAACATATGCTCTCGTTTATTCATAGATGCTTTTTTTTTCCTCCTCCAAAGTCACCAAAGCAGAGACCTCACCCTCCTCACCCTTTTTTTTCGTTGATTGTCAACATTACTCCTTATTTATAGCATCTGGAGGTGTACAGCACAAGGGTTAATCACTGCTCCCCCCCTCAAACACACACACTCATACTTTTAGTTTTATTTCCAAGCCTCCACTCCTCCTCCTCCTCCTCTTCTTCTCTCTCCTCCTGGTCAGAGGATAAACAAAGCCGCCGTCGTTAATCCCTTCTACTCACTAATTGCCTGATCTGTTACCGTCTGACGTTTTCCTCCCAGATCCGAACGGATAAAGGCTGGAAATTCAAACCAGGTTTCCTAATCCTGCAGGATGTATTCTCCTCTCCACCACATTATTTTTAGTCCCTTTCTCTCTCTCTCTCTCTCTCACCGTGGTCGACTGTTGCTCCCAGTAGGAAACCCAGTGTCGGTGACAGTGACGTGCTGTTAGAGGATCATTTAAATCTGTTATAACACTGTCATTACACTCATCTATTTCCAGACATTTACTGTCAAATGGAAAGCAGAGATAAAACAACGTCTGAGAGTTCTATTCTATTCTATTCTAATAGTTCTATTTTTTAATTAGAGTCAAACAGAGACTGTGATTTTACTCTTTTACTGACTTTATTCTACAGGAGTTATTTTGGGAAAAAATGCAGGATTTGGAGCGTTAATAAAGTTCTGACTTCTGAGCATCAGAAACATTGAATTTGAGAAACAATGTTGAGGAAAAGATTTTAAAAAACATAGTCATTTCTGGATTCTGACAATGTATTCAGTATTGTTCATATTGTTTTTTATTAGATTATAGTCAGAATTCAGACCTAACCTTCGATATTCTAAAATTCAGAATTTCTAATTTAAAAAAAGGCCCTTTTTTAACGTTTAATTTTAAAATCCAAGAATCAAACTCTGCGTGGTCCTCGTCTTCACCCTGCTGATGAGGACTCCTCGGCTCCACACTGGCCCCTTTGTACTGGACCCAGCTTTGACATCAACTGGGTCAAGCGTGAGGGAGGGAGGGACGGAGGACAGCAGCTGGACCTGGTCCTCAATGTCAGCCTTGTTAGTCAACTTCATCAATGTCCGTCGGCAGCCATTGGATTTATTTCTCTCCTTTGTCTGCACAGAACTCCTCGACAACAACAGCGCAGCCTGCAGGATCCTCGGGGATGTTGGCAGTGACCTGCTGACCTGCTGACATACCACACATGCATGCTGATGATGTAACGCTCGGCTACTGCATGTCAATGAGAGGCAGCGCATGCAGCCAATTAAAGCACAGCGAGTGTGGAAGAAAAAAAAAACACAACGTGAAATGGGATTCGAACCCATGTGGGGTTTATCACTGCACCATCGTGTATGACTGAAACAGGACGACAGTGGGTTTTTAACGCAAGTCATTTACAAGAAATTTTAGCCATCCACATCAGACGTGTCCAAAATAGGGTCTGAGGACCGATCATGGCACCTGTCCTCCATGTTGTGAACAAGTGATGTTTTACAAAGTGACGCAGCGAGGTTTTCAGCATGTCATACGGAATCATTAGAAGTATTCACGAGTATTTGTCAAACATCTTTACTTGCTGCTGTTTTAGCCTCATTGTTGGTCAACAACTTTTTTAAGGATGAAATTGTTTTATTTTTATCTGATTGTCAATAATTATGGACTTTTGAGGCTTGTGGTTGTAAAAATGTAAAATAACCTCAGAGCTAATCATTCGTTTTCTCGAGCTAAAACATAACTCTCACTATTAGCTGTTAATTTTAGACAATTTTTTAGCTCCTGGTTTTAGCCTCTCAGGTATTTTTTAGCTAACTTGTAGCCGTATTTTGGTTTTGACTCATTCTTCTGTCTTTTCCACGTCCATGTCCAAACTGCGGCTCTTTCACAGCTACAGTGTCTTTCAACCACCTTGGCTAACCTTTAACAACGTTAGCACTATTAGCTGCATGTCAATACCTCGTGTTTTCAAATTCAAATCAAATTTTTACAGCTGTTTTTTTTAATTATCAAAGAGCTGAGCACTGAAACTCCCCCTCCCTCCCCCTCTTTCCTCCCCCACTGTCATGTAATCCAAAAGGTATTTGTCAAAAACTGCATCAAATTGTGTGAAAAGTTTGATGAAGGCAGTGTCTCTGGGTCCAGTCCTGAAGCCCAGGCTCCATAAATAATGACTGGCAGCTGAAATGGGACTTTGTGACTTTAAGATGTGACTCGGGGAGATGTGGTCTCTCTATTGTTGATGAGACAAAAGCGGGAGTCAGATTCATATAGGAGTGGCGGGGAATAACTTCTCATATCCTCATATCACAGTCACAAAGCGGTGCAGCCTCAAACTTCAATAAGTCTGCTCTTCGTCTCCAGACATGGGTGAGTGCACGGAATCCTGAATAATTCCTCTGTAATCTATTATTAATGTGATCTGAGGATGTGGACTTCAATAACTCACTAATGTTGCCTTTAATATGTCCTGTCCGTCCTCCGACATCGTGTCGCTGCCCCCCCACTCGGGGCTTCATCAGCCGCACATCAGTCCCCTACTTTACGGCCGTATGGATTATACGCCGTTTAATATGCACTGAACGGGTTATTAAAAATAATTTTATTAACCGGCACTTTTTTTTTTAACACAAAAATATCTGCTGTGGCGAAGAGACGAGGTGACGTAAAGTGGAAGATTATTCGTTTTTCATGGACTTTAAATTAAAATTTTTTTTTTTTCTTTTTTCTTTTCTCCTTCTTTTAACCCTGTAACCATAAACAACACTGTACTTTTGAAGGGAGTCTTTCAGGCGCAGACAGAGGCGCTCATCATGCCAAGGTCATGGCAGGTCACTCATGTGAAGGAGGTCAGAAACTCCCACCAAGTGTCAGTGGTTAGGAATTAGCACGAAGACTGTGGAGCCGAGCAGCTTGAAGCCACAAGTTTGGTGCAAACTTTCACACTTATCGAATTGATTTGCAATCCTGATTTTTTTATTATTTTTTGGATTATTTCTGGCATCTGCTGCCAAAATTCACAACAAATGTCGTCTCGCATGGACATCATCCAGCGCGGGTGTGTGTGTGTGTGTGTGTGACGGTGTGTTTGACGGTTGCAGCTGAAGTGTAGGCGTCTGCAGGCACCATCATCTTTTTGGGACTCTTGTCGTCTTCCTGCTGTTACTATTTATACTGAGCTGGCAGTGTGTCTGATTCGCTGCCCGGTTCCTTCCAACGACGCCGCTGTAATTTGTGGAATTATCGCATTTAATGCCCCGGGGGTAGTGGACCCGGGGCACTGGACGAGGGTTCACAATGCGCTGCAAACATGGTTTTTTGGAGTGGGGTTGTTTTTGTTGTGGAGATATTCAAATCGCCCCGTCCTTCATTATGCTTCCACCCACTCTTTGAACGCTTGTCAAATCCCGCCCCCGGCCGCGCTGACACTGGTACCAGTCTCAGGCAGCTGTGAATGGAGGATGGCCTGAGCGCTGACACTGCCACTGGTGCTGAGGTGCTCCTGGTGACCTCCACTGCCACCATATACCGCTGTGGCCTTTGTTTGTCTAACATGGCCGCCCTTTGTCTCTGCCCAAGACAAAGGTCATTGTGTCCGCGGGCCACAGAGAGACCCTCCTTTTGTCCCGTGGCCCCCGAATGTTCTGCTGCCATCTCTCCCTGGCCTGGTGACGCCGGTGACTGCTGAAGACAGAGGGCTGGACCAGCGCTGGTGAGGTCGAGCTGAGAGCTGCTGGTACCAGCAGAGCGGCGTTTCACCTACAGATGAGATCAGCGCCGGCGACTCCGCGTTTACAGTAGCCGTACCTTTGAGGCAGCGCTGTACCGACCTGTACCGACCTGTACCGTACCGTACGGGGATCTTTCTTCCTGTGGAGTACCAGACCAGAGCAGCAGATGTTCCCGGTCAGGCAGCCTTGGCTTTGCAAAGCCCTAGGTGCTTTTCCTCTCTGCCGTTTCTGCCAATGCATTCATTAACACCTTGGATCTTTGCTCCCTGCTTCCACAGCACAGCTTCCCCCGGCCCAGGTCCGTGGCGGTGGGCTTTTGTTTGGGACGCTTCACTGCGAGCCGCTGCTTGAACTCCTGTTTGTCTTTGCTCTCTAATTTTTTTTTTTCAATTTTTCATTTTTTTTTTTCAATTTTTTTGCTTTCTGGCCCGTTGGGGGAGATTTGTGGGGGGGATGTTTGCTCATGGGTCTGCAGACAGAGCCCGGCCTTCTCCGTAGCCCCCCCCCTCTCGACCCCCTCACCGTGGCGTAGATGTGCTGTGTGCTTTTATGTGCGGTGTGTGCCGCCTGTGTGCTGATATATTATGCCCCCTCAGGTTGTTATGATTGCTGTATCCGCTGCATCGGGGCAGTGCCCTACCCCTCCCTGGTGGCCACCCTGCTGTGCTACGCAGGCATGGCGATGTTCTGTGGCTGCGGGCACGAAGCCCTGGCTCAGACCGGAGTGCTGGTCGAGACCTACTTCGCCCGCAACGTCCAGGACTACGAGGTCATGGCCTCCTTGTAAGTTGTGTGGCGAGTTGTGTGTGGTAACTTTTTAACCCCTCGACCTCCTGTTCCTCACGGTTTCTTCTTCTTCTTCTTCTTCTGTTTTTTTTCTTCCAGCATCAAGTATTTCCAGTACGTCATCTACGGCCTGGCCTCGTTCTTCTTCCTCTTTGGTATCCTGCTGCTGGCCGAGGGTTTCTACACCACCAGCGCCGTCAAGCAGAGCTTCGGTGAATTCAGGAGCACTCAGTGTGGACGCTGCCTCAGCCTGACGGTGAGGAGGCGGGGGGGGAGGGGGAGGAGGGGGAGGACGGTGTC